GAGAGAGAGAGAGAGAGAGAGAGAGAGAGAGAGAGAGAGAGAGAGAGAGAGAGAAAGGAGGAAAGGGGGAAAACCCGGACGAAAGGGGTCAGAGGTCGTCAGACATCGATGACACGATGTTTGTTTCGCGACCAAGGCGATCTCGATTCCGACGTTCCTGATATCGCGACCGAACATTGGAACTTTCGCGCGGGTCACGAAACCACGTCGATACACGTGCCCCCCGAGGCTCTTCGTTTTTTTCGGTTTCCGATCGATCGGAGGATTTTTCCATCCGAGAGTCACTCTAAACTGAAAGGAGTTCGCTGCAAAGGGCGATTCGATTCCTTCTCGTCGTCTCGCCCCCTTTCCTTTCTTTTTTCTTCACGTCTTTTCACGTAACCATCCTCGCGGTACACCTTCCATCGAGTTATTAGTGAGCTGTTCGACGGCAACTTTTTGTTCCGTATTTTTCAGTGTTTGTTGTGGTGTTTTCTGACGTAAACATATATATATATGTGTGTTTTTCTTTCTGCCTTTGCGCCTAGGTTGAGTCACCTTGAATTCAATCGGAGAACTGAACTATTTTCTTCCGTGGTTCCTCTGTAATCTGTTGTCAGTCTTATCAACGCTATCTAGCCTTATCAGCGTTATCTTTCGAAATCAGTGAGACGAATCGTAGTTGATGTTTCCCTTGGAATTTATACTCGTATATTGCCTGGGTTCGTCTTATTGAAACGTCTCTCCACGTTTTCGCACCCCCTTAACCAAACAAATTTCATTCTTGTTTGCTACCTGTTAATTATCGTCAAATGTCGCGATTTTTGTGGATCTTCCTGTATTTTCTTCCTTTTTTTCTTCTTTCGACGGATTCGTTGATTTCTGACAGCTCTTTTTGAATTGATTTATTGATTTATACGGCGTCGTTCTTTGAGCGATACCACTGTCGACGTCTTAATGAATCCCAATTGTCATAAACATACTAGTATCTCAGATAATATCGCGGTGGTGAGATCGATGTGGACATTACGGCGAGGAAGGACGCGAGAGTCTATCATTATTCGCACGTTCTGGTGACGTCCACGCATGTAAGTATAGGTAGGATGCACGATTTAATACGCATTCGTGAATTGGTATTCACGTAACGTTATGTAACGTGTCTCATGCATGGCATTATTTTACATTATACGACATATAGAAAAAAAAAAAAAAAAAGGAATCATTACGACGAATAATTTTTCTCGTTATCGATTCAAATCGATAGTAATCTTCTTTGACCTACTTAGCGAAGGTTTCCCACAAATACGTTTACTTACTAATTTTCTAACAATTTACTCGTTGTATTAGTGTATTTGTATCGTTGCTCTTTTGTTAATAAAATAAACAATTCATTTGCCCCCCCCCCCCCCCTCTATTAAATTCTATTCACGAACTCTTTGATCTTTACAATATTTGATAATATATACATACGTATGTATGCAATGTCAGAATCTTTGCGTTCAAAGCTCAAGTTCACTTCTGACTTCATGCGTTCAAACGGCCGATTGATTTACTCAACGAGAAACGTGTACGCTAACTCGATCGTACGGGAAGAGGCTGCCTGTTTATCAGCTGAAAACGAGAAATGCCTGTTGGAGATAATCGACGAACGAGATGACCGCAAGTGCCGCGTGTTCGGTTCGTGACTTCGAGGATCGTGTGATATTAGGTCACGAATCGGGGACTAATCGAGTACGTGCCTGGCCGGTTATCGGTAACATACAAATCGTCTACATAAATACGAGAGGTCTCCATTGTTACAAATCTTCTCGTTGTAATTTTTTCATTGTTTGTTTTCCTTTTTTTTTTTTTTTTTTTTTTTTTTTTTTTTTTTTTTTTTTTTAAAANTTTTTTTGTTTTAACCTCTTGCGCTGAAATGACGTGCCACGCACGTCGAGAATTTCTTGTCCCGAAATTGCAATATTCTCTCAGTTTTAAGTACATTTGTGTAAAACAAAGTAGGCAAGACAAATAATAAATTTATTCTCAACAATTTCTATCCAGCGATACCGACGAGTACAAAAAGAAAGCGACGAATTATTGTATACGAGTTTTGGTCACTCGTTATGGTCCGCAATCAGTTGCCAGCGCAAGCGGTTAAGAAAACGTCGTTCCAGGTGAAACTTCTCTCCGTAATTCGCTTCTTGCAGAGTAACAATTGCGCATAACACGTATAAATTTTTTAGAAATCACCGAAACAAGGTATTGAAGTTTTTTTTTCAATTTCTTTTCTCGAGTCTTCTCGTTTTTTATTTCAAAACATTCCTGTACAGAGAATTACTTTAAGTTATCGAGAAAACTACTTCTTACCGCCAATAAATTTGATAAAAATTTAAGTACATTAAATGTAGATTTCACTGGGAGTTATAAAAAGATTCGTAAAAAGATTTTCAACTTGGGAAATAATAACGTGTATTTTCTTATAACGATTCTAAGTGCCAACGTATTGAATATTTCATAATTCAGATCGTATTTATTACAATCTTACAGCTAATAAGTAGCAAAAACATGCATCGTTAGGTACATATATTGAATAACAAATTCAATAATTTTATTCGTATTCTCGAGTCTGTGAGACTACATTACGTTTGATAAATATAATTTAATACAGCGTGAATAGGGCAGCTACTCGGTTGGTAATATTAATAAGAAATTTTTTTTGTTAACACATTATCAGTAGTTTCGTGGACGGAATGAAGGAGGAGGGAAGACCTTCGACCCCGTTTCGAAATTTATTAAAATATACAGTCTATTCGATTGTCTTATGAAACTGATAATTCAACCGGCCATGATAACATAAGAAACACGTGCAAAGAAATGATCGACAATAATAATTGCGAATATACTTGACATAATCTTCGGGCGTGCTTCCGCAAACAGTGACGGTCAAGATGCCCGATCTATAGGGTGTCTCAGAACGCGCGGTACGACCGAGTAGAGGGGGTGAAATTTGTTCATCAACGCCTTCGTTTAGAAAATCAAGTTTGAGAATTTATTTCAGTATGTAAGTATGCTTGAACTTCAATTCTATCAATTCTAGACGTGACAGAGAAGAACAACTGACAGGAGAGTTGTTCCACGTAAAGCGAGAATAAGCAAAAGAGAATGAGTGCAATAAAATTTTTTTATCAAGGTACTTCGTTTACGAGAAAATCGAGTTCAAAGATTTATGGAGTACCCGTGCACCGAGGCAATTTTGCAGCGAAACGTCTTCTCAAAGTCTATTCTCTTGGAAACGACACTTTAAACATTTTGTTCAACATTTTTCACTTGTTTTTGCGTTTCGTTCACAGAATTGGCCGAATTCAAGTATACTTGATAAATCTGACAAACTTCATCTCCTCGGAAACGAAACATTTTCTTTAATGAGCAAATTTCATTCTTTCACTCCGACTCATTTTTTTTTTTTTTTCACTTGCTATCCTGCCAATTATTCTTCTTTGTCACGGCTAGAATTAGCCAAATTCAAATGTACTTGAGAGATTCAAACTTGACTTTGCGTATAATCGTTTGCGCGTATCATCTGTCCTAAGACAATTTGCACGTATGTATACATCTACATGTTATTGAGATATTTTCATTTCTAACAGGCGATATTTTAATATTTACTTTAGCATTTCTAAGTCGATTTATTTCTGTAAAAATAACTAATCATGTTCCCTTGAAGCATTGCCACTGACTGGAGTATATTATCTATGATCAATGATGATCGAAGTCAACTGTCTTGAACGATTTAAAAATAATATTTAAGAGGTAGATTAATCGAACGATCTCTAAAAAATTAATAAATTAGCACGATATCGTATTTAATGACGCAACAAAAAATTGACTTTCAGGGTTACCGATCACGTGACTTTAAATTTCATTTAAAATCGCATGATTCGTACGTAGTGTCGATTGATAAGTGAAGTATCACATTTTATTACATAATCGATAACGCGCGTATTACGACTGATATGGTACGTTTGTTTCTTCTGCAATTTACACACGTGTTTGTTTCTTTTCAGTAGAAATTTTCGATTCGATTTGCTTCGTTGCATTTTTGATGTTTTCTTTTGCGGGGTTTTTTTTTCATTCAATTTGACGGCACATTGGTCTAAATAAAAAACGAAAAATTCTGGGAAAGTAAAAAAGAGATTCTTGGAAACACAAAAATTATAGGAATTGTCTTATTACTTTATACTGACATAAATTGTTCGTTGCAAATAATGAATATAGATAAATTCGATAGGGAGAAGAAAGAATACAAATTACAAGGTTATAATTAAATGGAATTATAAGAAAATTAGTTTATAAATAAATCGACTAGTCATCGATGAATTCGTGTCAGCTATTAACGTATTTTAACTTTGCGAAGCACTACGTATGTAGACACGGAAGTGTCTCCTCCCTTATTTAATAAACGTATTAACGTTGCGGCGTGTATTATTCTTTGAAAAATTTATTACGAAAACTCAACGCTTCGTACAAGAATCGAACGAGGCATATTTTCTTTTCGTATTGTACGATAATTACGTATGTTTAGCAGCAACAAACTCTATGGATTTTCACACAAGGCAATCAAAAAATTGACAAACTGTCGTGATTGGTTGATTGACGAGTCAGGCGACGTATACTGCATTTTGATTGGCTGTTAAAAAGCGTGTGGTGTATCCAAGTAACACGCGTCACCAACCGATGTATACCGAATATACGTCTAAGCGCTTATTCGTATATGGAAATTTTTCGTCGTACTTTCGGATAATTTCCAATGAAAAATACCGAGGCCAGCGTAAAAACAAAAATCCAGAAACTTACCGGTGACGAATCTTTCGCGGTGGAGTAGCACGTTCTTCATTGAGGTTAGGTTCGTCTGTCCCTCCGTGTTCTGTCATTCGATATGCTTCTGTTAGTTATTCGTCACGAAAAAATGTTACACGACACTGCCTCGGTCCGGGTATGGCTTGGTAACGACCGAACACAGCCGATCACAACATAAGAAATTATTGTCACCTTCTAAACATGGATTTTTTTACTTCCGCTAAGGCACGTACACCGCGGTACAACATAAAGAATTCGTATACCGACACCGCACCACCTTCGGATGCCACTGTTGATTTCTGCACAGCAAAGGTTCCTTTATCGATAGGGAAGAACCTTTCAGTGTTATCGTCCGTACCTAGAGGTCAGGGTCCACAATACCGGTAGTTTCAAATCAGTTTATCTGCGAATATGGATACCGTTATATGGGACACGAATTTACTCGTGGATATTGTCAAAAAAGTACGCTGTACCACAGTATTCGTATTAGTGCAACAATTTGTTGAATTAACGGTGATAGTTACGATTAGTGTTCATTTGTTTCGTAACAAAATTCTTTTCATTTGAGTCGTTTGAAGCAGGTTTTTGTCTGTTGTTTAACCTCGCCGTGTTCTTTCAATCGTTCTCGATCCATCCGTAATTTTCGACCTTAAAAGATTTTTCAAATTTGAGAAAAATACGAATCATTTTTCACAACTGAACTTTCGTTGATTCTCTATTTTTCTTTCTTACATGTATATGTTTTATGTGAAATAGATATTGCGACATTTCGAAGAATGGAACTCGAAATTCGCCTCATTCGGAAAAGTGAAGTATAGTTATATAGATGTCACGTTATTGAAAAATGACCCGATGCATTATACAATACAACTGACTAATTACGGGCAATCAGTAAATGATATTTTATCGTTCTCACGTGAAATATTTTGGAACTTCGTTGTCGCAGACACTGTTTTTAAAAATTCACTAATCGCTACAGTGTGCAGTCAGAATGAACGTAGCAATTGTCAGGAAACACTGGATTTACATTTCACACGTAATCGTCTATCATTGATGCGAAATAAAAACGACACGAATCTTGTCAATTTTTTTTATCAGAAAACGTATTTATCATTTTTGTTAAAGGTACGTAACATCATATAAAAAGATACCGATTTATTATAAGTGCTCGTAAATTATACAATAATTAATGCCATATGTATTATATTAATTCTTATTTTTACACGTTACAGAATAGACTAATTTTCTCCGATAAAGAAAAATTCATGAATATCATATTGAACGAAATAGTTTTATTGCAGCGGATCAATTTTTATACAAAGTTCACAGTACATATTAACCAAAACATGTTGTACAATAATTATATTGCACTTGATTACGATTATAAATTATGTCAAGTGCTTGCTATTGCTCTAACAAACGTAGTGAAACAGAGCTTAAGTGTTAAGTTCAAGGAAAATTGTTTCTCCATGTTAAAAGTGGAAAACTCGCACGAGGTTGAAACAGCGATTATGATTAAATTAATACGATTAATTCATGGAAATTATGTATTATAACGTTTCTCAGCGTTAATTAGACATCTCATGATTGTGGAATATTACTAAACTATAAATAACTTATTATATCATATTACATACTTCTAAAGTAATAATTATACTTAGGCGTTAAAAATAATTAAAATAATTTTTCATACTCGATAAATTTTTGTCTTTACGATAGAAAAATTAAATATATTTAAATATAAATATATACGATAATAACATTTAATAACATAAATTTCATATGATATTAAATACATCATTGTAGTTTAATTCGACTTATTCTACTATAAAAAATTTGCTAAAAAAAAACTACGTTTCGTTTTATTCAAATCGAAATCGTTTTAACGTAAATTATCGCGTCTGTTAGAATCTTTTGTCAATTATCACGTAACATTAGATACATCTTGCACTTTTATAGAACAGTTTACTGCGTAAATTAGGAAATAGGTTAAACTTCACTTTGCCGGGATTGAAATCTTCCCGCCATAAGTTAGCGCAGCCGATAGAGTCCTGCGCAAGTGTAGTTGCGCATAATAAGCCTAGTATTCATTCTTCTGCCCAGTCAAGACGCGAGGATCAGGTTAGGCAGGTCGGATTGACAGGAAAGTCGTGGAAACCGTACGTATTTCGCGGTGGCTCGTAAATGAAGGTTAATCCCGCGGCGGACCCGGTGAAGTCTGTGGAGAAGAACGAAGGCAATGCCACAGCAGAACTGTCAACAAAATACCCGTATTGGTTTACGAGTCTCGCGGTGAATTAGCCAGGGACAAACATGGCTCGCGTTCCGGCAGACGTGTGTTTTTCTTCGTGGTGAACCTACGGCCACCTCTTTCTCGCTTCTTCGCCGAGTTCCCTGTCTCTGTTTCATCGAGCAGGGATCCTCAACTACGGGAGTGGTGATATTCACGCAAGTACGTACAACGCGTATACACACCCAGTTGTAACGCGCGTACTCACACGCGCGGCTTGATGTATATTAATATACTTACACCGCTAGGTAAGGGAAGAGAGAAGCTTCCCTCTCGTTAGTATGCAAGTGCCGTTTCGGTGCCCCTTACGTGGCCTTATTTGCACTCGTGTACGATCGGCGCGCAAAACCAATCAAAATGATCGTTCTCCCTTTCGCATGATTTTTTTTCTTCTCCTTAGCGTGTATATTACTTACGTAAATATGCCCAATATCCAACCCAAATTTTCAATCTTTTCTCGTTCTTGCAATTAGTAAAATTGCAAAAATTGCGTACGGATCGCGTATTAGGCGCGCGAAACGAGTCGAAATGTACGTTCTCTTACCTACGTCGTACGTTGTGCCTGACTCGTGCGAGCACGCTTATTAGCGAAATATGCTACAAATACGTTCTTATTGTTAATTCATTGTTGATAGAACATAAACGCGCGTTCCCCCTCTCTCTTTTCTTTACGTGTTTCTCTGTTTCTTGTCGTCTGGTCGTCGCGAACGTGCGTGTGCGGGTAACGGTGCAGTAAATGGCGGAGAGGATGTAAAAGGGCTTTCCTAGTCTCTATGATGCGCCAGCAGTGAATTATTCGCGTTGTCGTACCTCTGACATAATCGTCGTTGTTTGCCCTCGCGCGGGTCATTTCAGGTGAGAGCCGATATTCCAGCTGTTTCTATGTTTACTTCTCCGTACACGGATATTTATCGCGATACGTGAACCGACCGATCTACCGTGTAAATACGTCTCAAGCACATGCTTATTTGCGTGGCCTGTTGCCACGATATAATTTCGCACACGCAAAGTTCATTGTACTTAACCCTGTGTTACGCGATACGACGCAGAATCGATTCTTTTTCTTTTCGAAAAAACGTCGCGGATCATCGGACGTCTTTATAACCTCAAAATTCACGTAAATGCCGTATATCGTTCGGGATATTTTCACTGAGAGACGGGGTAAAACGATTAGCATTGTAAATTGGCAATGAAATTAAACTGATGTAAGGAAAATTTGATCTTGCTCGTTTGATATGATAGTATCTCGTTTACATTCAACATGCATTCGTTGGATTTGTAAATTGTATCATTGTCAGACATTATGTTCGAAGATTTTTAATGATAGAGTAATGCATTTGTCAATGTTTCTTACGCATATTTACTTAGGAAATGAGTAATTTCATATTTTCTTCACCTTACGACTTCGTTTACACAAGGTGGACCAGTTAAATATTTTCTGCTTTTGATGTAAAAAGGAACTTCTGAGGACAAAGTTGTGTACCATCTCAAGAGATAAATGCAATGCTGGAGATATTTTTTTTCAATGATCAGTTACTTACATGACCATCTCAAGGCCATTGTTATTTCTCTCCTTTTTTGTAATTAATCTATATTTATTTTGAATATTCTTGTAAAATATGAAACGTTTTTGTACAACAAAAAATAGCAAAAGGAGATACTTAGCTGGACCACCCTGTATAATGACTTCTCTAGTTACTACTTTAGTCAACCTTAAACTGTAAACTAAATGTGCGTCAAGGACATTTCCATTGTTACAGTGTTCGCGAAATTCCGAAATATGTACTTGGTGTTACGTGCTTAAATATATATATTCGTGGAACGTTTCTACAAGTGTTCGAATATACACATATCTGTGAGCTACGCAAAATAGGAATTCAAGTGCGTGTAATGCGATAAGGGCGTCTCATGTGCACGATGCTTAATTAAGTTCTCATTGTACGTGGCACGTTGCACAACCGGAATAGAGAGAAAAACAATCCGCGCAGCTTGTAATTAAGCAATGGATGTGGTTGCGCGTGCTGTAACATCACGACAGAAGAATAACAATACCGGCGGGAAGGCGGGAGAATTCGTGAAAGAAAAAGGTTCGGATACATCACCAGCATTCCCATGCTGCGGTGCAGCACGCGCTTCGAGATAGTAACCTTGGCACAGTGAAGTTATCGGAATGGCGTAATCTCTTCTCCCTGCTGAAAAACACCACCTTCACTTCGCTCTATCAAGCTCGTTGAGCTTTATCAAGGGACGTGTCAACGAGTTTGTAAAATTATTTAGTTTGATCGCGTGTGGTTCACGCGCGCACGTATTAAGCGCGTCGTCTCGAGACGATATCGCCTTGAACGTTGCGTTTTTACGAAGCGGCGTCGAGGTTGCCAAAGTCATTTTAGCGATTCTCTGTGTTAGTTTCTCAGTTCATTTCGTACTTTTATTTATATTACGTTATTTATTTTCGATTGTCCGGTCATTGAGGAAACCACTGTTGCATAAAGTTAGGTTAACTTTGCAACGGTTCGTTACTTTGTTTTTAAACTATCAGTAATAAGATCTAGCTTGTAGATGGCATTACTTTCTCGTTTCTATTCATTTTCATTTATTTTTTTATAGTGAATGAGACAAGTCATTTCCTCTTTTTTCTTTTTTTCTTTTTCCTTTTAAATAGAAATAACGAATGGACACTCGCCAGTTTTGACTCGCGAGGCACCGAAGCCCAAACACATGTGGATCGAATTAACTTCTAGGGATTCGAATTTATCGATCGAGGTTTACTAATAAAGGAACACATGAAACTTTCCTTTATCTCGCACGCAATGTAAATTACAGTTCGAATCCTTCAAATAATCATAACAAGATGAGAAACAGTTACAGTTGGGATCGGATGGTGCGATAAATCGTCTTTTTTGTTTTTGTTTAGACGCCATTTTTAATCGACTCGACCTAACCTTCTTTTGCCCGCGAATATTTAAGCGTTCTCACACACGCGGTAACGGATGTTGCGTACATTTTTTATTCGTACTTTTCTTTTCGTCATTTCGCGACTGTATCACTGTTACGCGTTCTTAGCTAAAGTAAAAAGAAAAAGAAAAAAAATGAGAGAAAAATAAGAAGGAGCAGTTAACCATCAGTTTTACTCGTGAACGTGCAACCGGATGTTCTCTTTAGCACGAAAAACGCCAGCCAGTGAAAGAGCTTCTGTTAATTACCCGTCGAACGAGAGACATCGTTCATCTGTAATCTGTATGATAGATCGATTTTAACGTCGAATTATGATTTTTAATTTCACGTTTCCTTTTTTTTTCTTTTTTTTTTTTTAGAGGTTATGTTAATTGAAAATTCAGTAGGCTGTTCAACGGTCCAATATCTCGTAAAAATCGTGAAAATGCGACTTACAATGGTTTTCTCTTCGAACGTAATAGATGAATTAGATTTTTCAACGTGCTCCGTTTTACTTTCAAGTCGTTCTCTTAATTAGTTTGGAAAGTAACTATACAGATCAATGGTAATCGCATAACACTTCCTGTAGGTGGTTTTAATTGCACGCTTCTCGCGGAATATCGTGTCATTCGTCGAATGGAGATCCCACATCCTTTGAACATTTTTTTTTTCTCTTTTAAATATTTTTTTAATATCCAATACGTTAACGCTTATTAGATACACTCGATTACCAATAATGTCAACTTTTTTAATTTTCTCAGAAAAAACGAAAAATTTGTGCAACAATAAACCTGGATACATCTTACAGCTTGAAGCCTCTACTTTCAAAATGTATCGTTTATTTTATTCTAAAATGTTTTTACATCGCGAAGATACTTTTCTTTATTTCAAAAATGCAATATATTGTCATTTTTTTTTCTTTTGTTTTTTATGACTGAATCTATAATGGATTTAAAGATTGAAAGATTGAGGTCATATTTATATAACGACCTCCGAATACTTGATTTTTTTTTTTTTTTTTTGGCAGTTTATGAAACTTTGAATATTGGGATTAAATGTTATGATTTCTTGAATTTTTGCTGTTTAACACTGATATTCAAAGTTCAATAAAATGGCGAAAATCGTACATCAAAATAGGGTCGCTTCGATCTTCAAATCTATTATAGATTCAGTCATAAAAAAAATTTTTCAATGTTTTTACACGCTGCGATAACGTATTGAAAATATCTCCATCTGCATACCATGAAAACGTCTTAAAATAAAAACAAACGGCGCGTTTTTTAAATTTTGGAACGAGCCCAATTGTTGTGCAATTTTTTTTCTTTTTTTTTTTTCTGTCACAAAATCATTACTATCTGAATATTAACTGTATATCGAAATATCAGGCGAGATGATAATAATTTGAAACGAAAGGGACAAAATTTTTGAGCTTCGAGGAACAAAATCGATCATTCTTGGGCGTGGATCGGAACAGCCCAAGCTTTCGCTCGATTAAAGTTCAAGACGTTGCATCTATGTACGTGTGCAGGCCGTGGCAAGGCCGTCGGATTTTCGCACAGCAAATTCACCTGACTGCCTTCAGGTGCGTCAAATAATCGCGTTTTACTCGCGGCCGAGCGTCCGCGAGACTTTCATCCGCCTCCGTGCGTTCCCGATTCGCAGATAAGATCGCCACACGGCGGCCGAACCGTAAAAATTAATTACCATCGTTATATTTTCACTTTTCTTTGTTCGTTCCTTCGCCCCGAGCCTTTTCTCTTCAACTCTCCGTGTTCGATCTCTTTTTTTTTTTTTTTTTTTCTTTTCCTCGGTCCTCGATTCGCTGCAACGTTGTACGAAAAATGTAATTCGCGAGATTCTACGCCTGTGAGAATTGTCAGAATAGGGTTTTTTTTTTTTTATAACGATTCGAGGGACGATTAGAAAGTTCTTGATTGATTTGGATTGTGAAAGGTATGAAGTTGAAGAATGTCTCTGGCGCGTGGGCAAAGAGGTCTGCGCAGCGAGTACTTGCTGCATCTAAAAATTGTCGATGCTTAGACGAAGATATATTGTAACTTTGTGAAAAAGAAACTGTAGAAAAATTAACCAGAAACATTGTTTTGAAACATTTGCAATGCACCGTGATATTTTTATTTCGGTGCAGTGAAAATCAGAATGTGAAGATATTCATTTCCTTTCTTTAAAAATGCTACAAATTATCGTAGCGCGTAAAGACATTGAAAAATTTTTTTCATAACTGAATCTGTTGTCGATTTAAAGATTGAAATTTCCCATTTACAACGATCTCCCCAAATTTGACGTACGATGTTTTTTTTTTATTGAACACAAAAGTTCAAGAACGTAATAATTTAATAATATGCAATTATTTGTGTCTCACTGTATTTAATGAAACAATAAAAAAATCGTACGTTAAATTTTAGAGACTTGTTGTAAAGAAAGAGACTTGAATCTTATGTTCATATTAGATTTAGACACCAAGGAAAATTATTTAACGTTTTTACATACAACTTGTATATTCGAGGAAAAAAAGTATTTTATCAAAGTAGGTACATTTTTTACCAGGCCATCGGATAGTAATATTATTTGGTTTATATTTTACATTTCATAAATTTCAGTTAGCAGATATAATTAGTCATGAATAGTTGCATTAAGCCAGCCACAATCAGTCGCATGTAATAAATTTATTAATTTTATTTTATCAAATGTTAATTTATTAATTTTATTATATTAAATGTTAATTTATTAATTTCATTTTATTAAATGTTAATTTATTAAATTCGTTTTGCCTGGATTATATTTCAGTGGATTATATACTTAAAACTGCGAAAATATTGCAATTTTGGGCCAAATATTCTTGACGTGCGTGGTTAATAATATTTTCGCCAAAACACTTTTCTGAGCACACCGTGGAAATTGTTTGCGCAGAGGAACGTGGAAAGAGGAAGAATGGTTCAATCGAGAGGGAAGTGAGAATCCTGCCGTCATCCTGGCGCGTGGCAAACCAGGCCAGAGGCCTGGATCCTCGTCCTCCTCGTCCTCGTCCACGGAGAGGCTGCAAAGGATGCCAGGACCGGCACAAGAAAGGCCTCGCGCTCAAAGGCTTACCGACATCGAGCCTCAAACTGCAAAGGTGAGTAAATCACGATACTACGATCAACGTACAGCGTTGGGAGGGAGGTGTGTCCCATTTGTGAAAAATTACGTTGTGATAATTGAATTGAAATTTTGGGTTGAACGAAAAGAGTCGCGCGTTTTCTGTTCTAAATAAATTCCATTGTGTCGTTCGAGGCAATCGTAATTCGTTCAAGCTACTAAAAATGGGCACAAGGAGATTCTTCCTAAGAAGGGAAGAACAGAAACAGTATAGTCGAGTCGGAAAAATTATAGTCGGAGAATAGAAAAATTTTTTTCATACTAGAGAAAATCGGGAGAAAACTTGTTATAGTATGTTATTATATTATATTAATTTTTATATTAATATAATATAATACAATATAATACAATACAATGCAATACAATACAATACAATACAATGCAATGCAATGCAATGCAATGCAATACAATACAATACAATACAATACAATACAAAATAATATAATATAATACAAAACAATACAATACAATACAATACAATACAATACAATACAATACAATACAATACAATACAATACAATACAATACAATATAATATAATATAATATAATATAATATAATATAAT